TATTCATTCCTTCACGCTACATGATGAGATGACTCCATGTTTTTGGTGTTGTTTCTGTGTTGTGTATCGTGCATTTCAGGTCAAAGGTCGAATTATTACATACTTCATGGGCCTCAGCAAGCGTCCTCTGACTGTTTTTGGAATTTGTCTCAGCATTGTCACTTCCCTCATTTTACTAACAATATGCATATCCACAATCCTTTACTGCAACGCAGTGAAAAAGTCCCGAATCCATCCTGAGAGTAACTATGTAAAAGTGATCCGCAGAATCAAGTGAGAAGTATTTGACATCTTCATTGTTCATAGAAAATTTTTTACTGATTAGCTATTGTCTGTAAAAGAGTCCTGGAGCACATCTGAAGGAATAACAATAAAATGACTTGTCCTTTTTTGATTGGAACATATTCTAAATGCAATATTTTTCTAAAAATGTTGTCTGGATTTTTACACTACCAATGATTTGATCACCTAAAATACTTTTAAAGTGACTGAGAGGGAGCCTTTTACTTTGGATTTTCTCACATAATCTAAAACTTTTCTCACACAAACATGCACTTCACTCCATTTTGGTCTCATGAACCATCATCCTTCTTCTTCAGTCCTCATCAGTTAAATGCCAAAGAGAAATCCTAATGCACTGCACTGCCAGACGCATTCCCAACAACTAGTGTTGTGCATAGTTCTTAGCTTTGCATCAGCAGACCTGTACTGTAGGACAGAGGAAGACAGATGACTGAGTGTGAGTGTGGGAGCGTCGCAATGTTGTTAGACATGTTGTTTGGGCCTCCTCTGTCAGTGCTTTGCGCATCCATCTCTCATGCTTGCATGCTTCAGAGAAATGCTGCATTGACGCTTGGATTCAGTCCCTTGGACTTGATTTAAACTATTTTATTTGTGCTCTTTTACAGACTCCTCTCAAGGGGCCTATGGCGGCCTTTTTAATGAAAAGTAGGGACAATCCAATGAGAGCTCTAGGCATGGTCACTGTTATCGTTAGCGTATTGGTAGGGGTGACTGTCTTGATCTCTACGGCTTTGTACATGCGCAACTCCAAGTCAAACAGGATCATGCCGGCTCGTCGCATCATTAAGAGGCGACCCAGGGACCAGCGGCCCTGGACCTTCAGGGTGCCTGTAATAAAATTCAGCGACCCTGCAGATAAGTTCCTCGTCGGCAACCCAGAGAGCGGCCTGCAGCAGAACACCAACAAACCCCGGCCAAAGCCTCCTCCTCCCAGTGCTCCTTGTCCCCCTCCACCCCCTTCTAACACGCGGCCCATTGAGAGGCTCCGGGCAGTCCCGACAATATCTGGTGCACTGGCCTCCAAAGGCTCCAAGAAAGCTAAATCTAGTCGCCGCAAAGAGGGGAATGTCAGCTCTGCTTTAGTGTCAGAGCTTAAAATGAAGCTGGAGCAGAAAATCATTGAGAGCAACAAAGGTTATTATTAGCTCGGTTCCTCGGCCCATTCTTTGACGACTGTATTGCTCTTAGCTCATCTACTGTCTAAGAGTTCTCACCTGAACTTTATGTGAGGATGTAGTCTGTAGACCTTTAGATTATTCATGAGTAAAGGGTAAGGTTTACAGATATTTATGTCTTAAGACGAGATATTAAACGAGTGGGGCCCATTGCATCCTCAGCTGACCTGGCTTAGGTAAAGAGAGGAGAGAGCCCGAGTCTATCACTGGTGCAGTTTAAGATAATTCCCCACACTGCCATCTTGAGGAAGATTACGTCATCTTAACAGTAAGAAGCACCAGTGTTGTCCAGGGAGAGGATTAGTAAGACTTACTGTGTATACATAAGTCGCATCATTTCCTGAAAAGTGTAAAGTTCATGACCATGTAATGTTTTCAACTCAGAATAAGGATGTCACTCAATAAATCCTACTAAAAAACAACACGTCTTCTTGCTCACTGGAGCATGCAGCTTAATGACGCGGTCATGAAAAAACAACACTGCTTCTTATAAAGTGCTAAAGGGCCTGTGTGTTAATACTTTTATTGTGTTACATCAGCCACTTGAAAGCTGAGAAGTTGCTCTTTTGTATGATTACAATGTGCCACTGTAGGTTTTCACAGTAACACAAGCTAACAGAGTTGCTTTTATTTATTTGAGTGTGTCATTCTAGAAACAATGCTTTTATATAAATAATATGATTCCATTTTAAATGTACAGCGTTGTGTTATGTTCATTATTTTGAGTATATGACAAGATATGAACATTTCCCAGTTGTATCTTGTGGCACCATAATCAAATGCTTCGGATTTTCACACACAGATCACCATGTATATAGCCTGCTTGGTCATTTGTTTTAGAGATATAGATACAAAGAGTCTGTGAGTCTGTGTCTACGCACACCTTCCATGTTATTCTTCAATGCCTTCAAATATAGGCAAATAAAATTTAATTTAATTGCTGTAATACGTATCTTGTATTTGACTATATCTTAACTTACAACTATCTTAAATACTTTGACATCAACTATATATCTTAACTATAAATTACACTTGCCTGGTCCTTCGAAGTAACATATTTGTATCGTCTTTGTACTGTTTTGATTTTGAATAAATATTTGAAACTCATTTGGTTTGTGCTCCATTTTTTCGAGAGGCTTTATTGATTGGTATTAGTTTAGTTTAGTTTGTTTGAAACATGGGTGATGCATTAAAGGGAGAAACAACAGCATACACTGTTTTGTAAACAACATGGTAAATCAAAGCCAACATTTATGAATAAATATTACAACCAAACAAAATGTGATGATGTGCAAAACATTGAAACCACGTATATTTCATTGACAATAACACAAATACAACTTTCAAATGTTATAACCGAGAAATTTTAATTGTTTTTGAGAATGATATGCTTATTTGAATTTGATGCCAGCAACACATTTTTAAAAAGTTGTGACTGGAGAAGTTGTGCAATACTAAAAGAAATCCCTTAGTGGAACATCTCGCAATGAAATAGGTTAACTGGCAAAAGGTTTGATTGAGCATCCCAGAAAGGCTGAGTCTTTCTGAAATAAAGATGGGGAGTCTGTGCTGGCAAATAGTGCAACAAAGAAAGTGGGTATTTCATTGTCTACAGTACATATTATCATTAAAAGATTCAGAGAATCAGAATAAATCTCTGTACATTTAGGGTCAAGGCTGGAAACCAAAATTATATAATAACAAAAGTTGAAACTCTATCATGCAAAGAGGAAACCATATATAAACCAGATCTAGTAATGCTGCAGCCTTCTGTGGGCCCCAAGCTCATTTAAGATAGACTGAGATTATTGCTCAGAGTTAAAGCCAGGATCTGTGATGGTATGGGGTTGCATTAGTGCCTAGTGCACATGGCATGGTTAACCTGCATATTTGTGAAGGCACTATTAATGCTGAACAATAACCAGGGGTTGTCCAGGGACGGCTTTGCTTATTACAGCAAGACAATGCCAAACCACATTCTGCATGTATTACAACAGCACGGCTTCGTAGTGAAAGAGTCCGGGCGCTAAACAGGCCGGCCTGCAATCCAGACTTGTCATCCATTGAAAATGTTTGCCGCATTATAAAACCTAAAATTCAACATACGAGACCTCGAAGTGTTGAGCAGCTGAAGTATGGCAAAACATTCTACTAAGATTACAGCAGCTGGTCTCCTCAGTTCCCAGACGCTTATAGTGTTGTTAAAAGCAGACGTGATGCAACAGAGTGGTGAAGACAATTTTTCCGAAATGTGTTGTTGGCATAAAATTCAAAATAGGCATATAATTTTCTAAAAACAATAAAATTTCTCAGTTTCAACATTTGAGAAATGGTATTGGTTATCTTTGTGCTATTTTCAATTAAAAATGGGGTTTCATTGTTTTGCACATTATTGCATATTGTTTCTATTTATATTTTACACAGTGTGCCAACCATTTATGTAAAACATATTAACTGGAAAATCTCACTGTGGGGGAAAGTAAGTACATATACTCAAGTACTGTACTTGTGTTTTACTTGAGTAATTCTAATTTATGCTACTTTATACTTCTACTCTACTACATTTAAGAGAGCAGTATTGTATTTTTTAATATTATCATTAATTACATTTATTTAACAGCTATGGTTACTAATTACTTTGCAAATTAAGATTTTACATAAAAACATATGATACATTTATAAAATGCAATGCATTATTAAAGAATGTCACATAACATAATATATCATTTACAAGGGCAGAGTGAGTGATTTTACTTTAAGTTCATTTTGCAGATAATATTTCTTTACTTTTTGTAAATGCAGGATGTTTTTCTTGTAATGGAATATTTTGTGTTATTTGCACTTTTGCTTAAGTAAAGGATCTGAGTACTACTTCCACCATTGCTCAAAATATATACATAATGCAGAATCATTCTAATTATTTATATAGTTTACATAATCATAGTTAACAATAACTAACACCTTATTATTTATCTGTTAAACAAATCACAAATTATATATATATGTGATAACAGATGCAGTGATTCCTTTGTGGATGTGATCTGACTAAACATTTATGTAACACTATCAAATTAGTATTATTATTACTATCACAATTTCTTTATATTCATAGAGTCAAATATCTGTTGAAGTGTGCGTTTAACTAGATAAAAAGGAACTAAATGTTTTCAATTACACTGAAAAAAACAATTGAAAATGTACACATACCCTTTATTTGCCTGTACAATTGATGTACAGACAGAGTGAGCTTGGAGCTGTCATTAAATGGAAATATCATGTCCTGCTGACTACGATAGAAAATCACTTTAATCTGCTTAAGAGTGTATGTATAAATGCATGCATGAACACAGCTTATGTAACAAATCCTCTGAGCGATTGTGCTAAAAAAAAAAATCAGAGTATGTCTCAGCATTCGTCTTTGACGTCTCTTTAATCCACATCAAACATCATTTTATTCAGTTACAAGATTGTAAATCTGGAGTCAGTAAAAGGAAAGACAATAAAAAATACATATTTTTCAACATAAAGTGGATTCAAATTATCTCAGCAATGAATCAACACACAATTTAGTTTAGCGAAGTTAAAAACAAAGAAATTTATAAAGTATTAATTATTTACATTTTTCAATGTTCATTTAGGATTGTAGAAAAAATAAAAAGACCCAAAAATATCAAATGCATTTTAGCACAAACTTTTTCTACATGTATATTAACACTTGTAACAAAAGGCCCTCCTTATAATAAGGAAGAAAGGCATCTCCACTTTGAGCTGATAGCTTGAAATTTACAGGATATACTCAAAATAACAAAAGTTTGTGTCTCTCATGTATTAGTATTAAATGTGATCAAAAAAACTAGAAGGCCATTTAACAAAATGGTCTTTTGGTTTCCAGGATTCTTTGAGGACTCCTCAAGACTCTTCTGATCTTCTGGATGTCAAAATATTCAGTTTGCTGCACGATAAAAAATAAGATGCTACTGTTGTCCACAGCGGTGACTCTTTCCTAATCTAAACAAAGATGGTAGCCAGAAATGACATATGTGGTTGCTTGGTTTGTAAACTGAACCAACATTTTTTAAATATATATTTGTCTGTAATGATTTTACTTTCTGTCCTTTAACAGTTTAAAAAAAAACAATGGGTTAATATTTTTCCTGTGTTGTACAAAAAGAGTTCATTTCCATAACAAATAGAGTCAAAACTTGGGAAACAAGTTAAAAAAATACAAAAAGAAATCCTGCACCAGTAAGAATATTTTGTCACCGAGATGGCGTCTTTGAGAATCTGAGAAATAGCATCTTAATAGCGTTTTGTTAATGATCCTTAGTTTTTTAAAGATCAAATATTTTATTTTTCAGAAAATGAGATTCTTACTGTAGCTCTTTGACTGAAATGTTATTACTATATTATTATTATTATTATAACACATGAGAAGCACAAACTGGGGCTACACTCAAAACTGACAATATTTACAAAAACGCATGCATGTACATTTCTTAACTTTAATGCTAGTACAGATGAGCTGCATTTCCTCCCTTGCTCCTGTCCTCAGACTTCCGCCTCTTTTTCATCTTTTCCTCTGAGACCCTGCACAGGCCCTCATCGCTGGCTGACTGCAGGCTGTCGAAGGTGCCCTGCCTCTCCGTCCTCTGCAGGTTCTCTTCACGCAGCCTGCGCATCTTCCACAGATCCATGCAGCGCTCCACGCAGCTGAACCTGGCCTCTGTGGTACAGGCGTACATGCCAGCCGGCACTGCCAGCATCATGGCGCACACAATGACAATAATGTGGATGAGCCTCTCTCTTTGCTCAAGCTCACTGATGTCACTTCCCGTCACGAATACGATGCACTGGCCTTCCCTCGGCTGATGGTTCTTCAGGGTCACACACACCTCGTATTTGGTGACAGGAAGCAGGTCGCTGACAGAGTAGCTGTTGATGCCTGGGCCAATGTAGATCATCTCCTTTTTGGGTGAATCATATTTGCCAAAGTGGATGGTGAACCAGGTTTCTGCTGGGTTGTTCCTTGCTGCATACCACTCAAGGGTGATACCATAAACTGTCTGCTTAGCTATGCGGATGTCAATGTAGGGATTCTCGTCGGTTGACAACATGGGGACATGTGGAGGGAGAGGAACAGAGGAACTGGAGGAGCTGATGTTAACCTTGATGCTGACAGAAGAGTTGCCAATGAAGTTGTTGGCTATGCAGGTGTAGAGTCCTCGGTCTGCCAGCTGAAGAGAGGGAATCACCAGCTGGGAGGTGACTGTGTCCCCGTCTATGTAAGTCTCTTTAGCTGCAAGGAGAAAACAGAGCGCACTGTATTTAAATCAGTGGCTTGTTCACATCTGATAAAAACTTGGGAAGGTAACCCTAAAGGGGGCATTGTTCCTGTATGTTTTCATAAAACAGATGCAGAGAGTTCAGCATATACAACACTAAGTACTCCCAGAGCAGGTTCACAACAGTTTAATGGATGGTAGTAATAAAAAAGAAAATCTTACCAGCAAATCCTCTTATAATCTTCAGACTGTACATCCACTGAATGGTTGGGCCTGGCCTGGCCTTGACTAAGCATGTGAGTGTTGCATTTGCTCCGAGAGGTAAAGTGATGTTAGTCTCTGGGGCAGAGGCTACCGGCTTCATGCATGTTTTTAACTGGATCTCATTGAAAAACTTGCCTGCTTTGGAGGCGGGGCTTGAGCATGTCAAATAAGAGTTCATCAGAATGATGGGAGGGCTCACCGCCCTGATGAACTCAACAAAGCCTTTGAGGCGGCAATCGCACAACCAGGGGTTGTCATGCAACGCCAGAACCACATTGGAAACCAGCCCTTCCTTCTCCCACTCTTTCTCTGCTGTACGATAACGAGGCCAATTAATGAAAACATCTTTTGATATGACAGTAAGCTGATTGAAAGATAAATCTAAGTAAGTCAGTGCAGGTAAGTGTCTCAGAGCGTGTTCAGGCAGGACGTCCAGTCTATTGTGCTTCAGGTCCAAAATCTTCAGTTTCGGTGTGTCCTGAAACACCATCCATGGTACTGAAGTCAGCTTGTTCCCTTGTAGCCTGAGCTCAGTTAGGTTGGCCAGCCCCTCCAGGCTTTTTATGTTCATCAGGGAGATCTCATTGAAATTCAGCCAGAGGAACTCCAAGGCACTAACTTTAGACAAAGATCCCTGAGGTAACTCAGTCAGGCGGCTGTTTTCAATTCGAATTTTAGTGAAATCATGTGGAATGTCCTCTGGGATTCGTCTCATGGAGGTTTCCATACACAGCAAAGACCTAAGGTGAGATTAGATATGCTCAGACAAGACAAGTCAAAGGCGAGTGTATATTTTATCTTCACAACTAGTCATGTACATGCACCATTTGCACACATTTTTGGAGTAGTGTTTGTCTTTATATTTCACAACAATTTAGTTAGCAGGTTACATTTTAAAAAGGGTTAAGGCTACCATAACCTACTTTTTTAGTTTGTAAGTTGGTCACTTACCTTTCCAAGTTATCATCTGTGCAGGAGCAACCGATCAGACAAGTTGATTTCCCAGGGGTGATGAGATAAAATACCAAAGCGATATGTAATGTGACATAAAAGGTGTCCATATTGCTGGAGGAGCTTGTGAAATAGGCCTGTGAGGGCAGGACATGCACCGTGGGCTGCATGAAAGAAAGCCTATTACCTTAATCTTCCTTGATGTAACACTTAAGACAAAGTGACATGTGAGACACTCTTAGTAGAGGTGTATTTATACCAATGGTCTTGAAATGTCAGATCTCCTCAAAAGCATGAAAACGCCACAAATGCTGTTCAGTCAAGATTCAGTGATTATGTTGCAGTTCGACATTCAGGTATGACCCCAAACTGGTTTGCATCTATCTAATTTAATTTATTTGTCCCGAGCCAAAGCACAGGCGTTGACATAACAGGAGGCCCTTCTGTATTAAATGGGCCGAAGCCCGTCGGGCTTAGCAGCACAGAGTGGGAGGGCTGCAGAAAGAGACAGATGTCCGAAGAGGAATGTAATCTGACCTCAATAAACTAAACGCTGATTGTCTCACAGGTTGTTAGGCCAACTCAGCAATAAAGCAAGTGTGAAAAAAGACAGCACTGTAGATTCAATCTTCAGTTTTGAGGAAATGTTCCTATAATGTCCAAGCTTTTTATGGTTATCAGTGATCATACAAGTTTTAAGTTAAAGATATAGATACTGGTGATTTCTTATTGTTAGTTTGCTTACAAGGCACTACATATCAACCAGAGATATTTTGCCAAATGTCTTTTATAAATGCCTTTTAACGTCTTTAGTTTAGTGTACCTAACCTGCGTATATTTGTCCTAACAGGATTAAACATTTAGCATTTTCATTGACTGGAATTTTTGAGGATGAATTAGTCCACACATCTATTCTAGGCTTCTCTGAATTGTGTCATTAAATCTTTGAGAGAACACTGGTGTTATTGATGCTTCAACTTATGTGTTCACAAAACAAAAAAAATACGGTAGCTGCTGTGTGAGGCTACATTTAAAGTAGGCACAGAAGTGCTTTGAGCAAATTGCTTAGGTTAGCATGCTACCACGGTCAAAATAACAATGCCAATGTCCATGTTTAGCAAGCACAATATTTACCATGTTGACCATCTAAGTTTAGTATGTTGCTAACAACAGCGCATGCTAACAGTTGCTACTTGGTCATACATAGAAAGTGTAGCAGAAGCTGATGGGAATGTCAGTAGTTTTGCAGTTTATTTGGTCATAATCCAAAGAATTGGTCAACATTTCATTTTGAGCTGATGGTGACACGGAATAAAAAGTTAGGGGATCACCAAAATCTATAGGAAACATCCTCTGGGGACTATGGATATCTTTCCCAAATGTCATGGCAATACATCTAATAGTTGCTAATGTGTCAAAGTCTTGATCGAACAAAGTGGTGGACTAACCAACAAACATAACATTGCCATACACAAGGCCACACTGCTAGCATGGCTAAAATTGAAAATTTTACTGGCACTTTTTGTTAAGAAAATAACTATTGTGTAATTTATCCTGATAGGGCTCACCCATCTAGCCTAATACTTCAAGCAGATTTTACAAAGCATTATTAGTTTTAAGTGCTTCTCGACCTGGCTCAGATTAGCTCATAGGTGTCATTTACACTGGGAACACATTTTGAAATGGCTGATTTTGTCCCCATCACTTTTTGAAAGCATTTGATAAAAATGTTCTGAAATGTAGCACCAAGAAAAGTTAACAAATGAAAATGATTTTAGAAAAGGTTTATTTGCACAATAAGAAAACATGCAATGCAATATAGTTTCCCTCATATAAGAACAGACATTTCCACCGTAAATTGAAGCAGAAAATATCTCCAGAATGCAGGAAATTACGACCCCCCACACATATATTTCACCATCACAGTTTCATCTAAATAGTGTTAAAAATGTTTTTGTCTTGTTCTCGTGCATCGTCACATCTTATGACCCAAATGTATCATCACACCCCTAATCTGAGCCCTTATGTCCCCGCCACTTTTCAACACAAAGTGATGCCATTGGATTAGCTGTATGTTTCCCTACAGCAGTGTGACTTTTTCAGTGAAATAGTTATCTGCATCTATTCAAAAATCAATATGCTGAGATATAAGAAAAAAGCTTGAGAGCATATGTAAATATAAAAAAATATTTATTCTTATACAGTACATTCATACATACACATGTATTTCAGGTCACAAATATTTACACGTTATAAAATGTACTGTATTAGTGTAAACAGTAAGCCCGGCACGTTAACATCATACTGACATAGAAAATAGACTAATAACTGCTGGTTCATATTTTCTCTAAATACTTTGTTTTAAATAAAGACAGAGGTTGCAGAGGTTACATCTTGGAAAAAAATTAATTAATTGTTTTTTTTGACAGTTATGGGCAACATTTCATGACTTTTCCTCTGCAAAATATGACCTTTAAAAGTGCATTATGAATTAGAAAACCCTTATTTTTACACATTTACACCACATGTAAAATATTAAAACCGTGTCTGTATATTTTCCCTTTTTTGCTGTCCACCAAATGAATGGTGGATTAATTCCCACAAGGCTGTAAAACAATTTCATACATCCAATGCTGACAGAGCAATCGGTGTCCTCTGAAGATCCCTAAAAGGGAATAGTTTGACTCTTTTGAGTCTCTGAGCACAGTGGTTTATCTATTCACATCACAGGCTGTTAGAAAACAAAGTGCATCCTCTGGAGGTTGTGGTATATGTTTGGTTTTAGCAGAAGTACTCATTAGGTGGCCCCTCAGTCCTGGCTATGGCCTCTGAGTCAACACTGGACCTCGCTGAGAGCAGCCTGTTGGATTCATCAGGATTTAGCCTGGTCAGATACTCACCCTCCATCCCTTTAGTTTTTGTCCCGGGGGCGAGGGTCTCAAACGTGACATACGAGTCCTGCATTTCCTTGGACTGCCGCCCCAGTAGCTTTTGGCAGCGCTTCTTTAGCGCCCCGCAGCACACGATCAGTGTCAGGGGGACAGCAATCACACACGCCACAGTTATCACCACCACATTAATAAGCTTCTGAGTACCACTGGCACTGGCCGCCTCATCTGTTGAGAAGATCACACACTGCTCCTTTTTCGGGATCAGGCCCTTGACGCAAACACAAGCAATGTACTTTGTCTTTGGCACAAGGCCGTCAATTGTGATCCGGTTCTTTCCAGCGCCTACATTGATCCGGCGCATGTCTCTCTCACCAAATATAGCGTATAGAACACTGAATTCTGTGGTGTTTGTGGCTGTAGGGGCTCGCCAGTTGAGAGAGACAGTATGGTCAGTGTCACCAATCACCTTCACCGAACGCACTATCCTTTTCTCCGGAGCTTGCTGCAAGGATGAGGCATTTGCTGCTAAATTACTCAGAGCATCCTGTTCCACCTCCACCGGCTTCTGAGGGTCTGACGCCTTGCCTCGTCCCTGAGAAGCACCATCGGAGATGCTGTAGCTCTCTATCTCATACTTGCCGGTTACGCCTTTGCCATTGAGAGGTTCGATGATGGGGCGGGCAGCAGCACTGGTTGGTGGAGGAACATATCTGGCAATAAGTTTTTCCTGGTATGCCGCTCTACCAATGCCACCAGGTTTCTTCCCTCTGGTTCTCTTAGAAACACTGCCACCTGTTTCCTCTGACCGAAAGGAATCTGTGATCACCAAAGAGATGATTGCGTCAGCAGTGCCCACAAAGTTGGTTGCTTTGCACACATATTTCCCAGAATCTCGGTAGGCGACCGCAGGCACACTCAGAATTGACCAAATGATGCCCTCCTTTGAAATCTCTTCCTGAACTGAAAAATAAAAAAGCAGACATCCACAGAGTTAAGCTGATTGCCACAAAGAGAATAACTTTAATCTCATTGACACTTTGACTTGGACAGAAATAGATACTGTTCTAATCCAAGCACATCTGGAATTAGTTCAGCAGAACTCACTGGTGCCGTTCATTTTCTTGCCATCAGCGCGACTCCAGGACAGCTCGGGGATAGGGACTCCAACTGTGCCACAACGCAGCAGGACATTGTTGCCCAGTGAGCTTCTCACACGAGCCACGGCCGTGTGCACCCGAGGACCCTGGCACCTCTGCAGCTCCGCTTCAGTAAAAAGAACTCCTGACAAGCTTTCTGGATCAGCGCACCTCAGCCTGGTGTCAATGAGAGCCACAGATGAGGATGGGGATTTCTGAAACTGGACCAGATCGTACAGCCGGCAGTCACAAAGCCACGGGTTGTCATGAAGACCTGCAGAGGAAACCAAGTGTGACAAAATGCACCAGCAAGACATATAAGACTAAGAATGTGTGGCTATGAGTTAAAATGAATAGAATTAGTCTGACAGCTTGACACAAAATAACTATAATTAGACTAATCCCAAGCTTTAAATACTTCTGATGTCAAAGAAGCAGTCGTCATGCACAGCAGCTTAAAAAGAATATGTTCTGGGATCCTAATATGGCACAGCTTGATCCTCACCGAGAATTAGTTTGGAATCGGTGTCCTGGGAAAGTTTCACACTGAGCCACATTGTTAGAACGTCTGCAGGTATGGTAGTCAGACTGTTGCTGGATAAGTCCAGATAGGTTATATTCTTAATGTACATGGTGGCTTCAGCAGGGATGGTGGAGATCTTGTTGTTGTGTAGGTCGAGAAGCCTCAGGCTTGGCATGTCAGTCAGAGACTCCCAGGGAAAGGAGGTGAGGGAGTTCCCTTCCAGCCGGAGCTCATCCAGGTTGGAAAGACCCCGGAAACTGTCAACATTCAGTGAATTCAGTGAATTGAAAGACATCCACAGAAACTCCAGGTTGTTGAGGTAATGGAAGTTGTCACTTAAAATCTGCGTGATTGCTGTCTTTTCAATGCGTAGCTTCGATGTGTCAACTGGAAAATTTGGAGGAACCACACTGATCTCCGGATCATTGCAAAGTACACTCCTGCAAGAAAAACAGAATAGAAATATGATTAATAATAACATGACATTTAAGAGGAAACTTGTTAAACCTTCAAATTGTAGGGGTCTGAATATGTTGATTTAATAACAAACAAAATACATGTACTGACTCCATTTTACAGTAAAAAATAAAAAAAAAATACAGTTCGGGTCTTATTTGAGAAACACATAATAGCCTGTTGTTCAGTAACAAGCAAAGGAGATTAAAGGCCAACTCCAAGTTAATCCTCCACTACACAGAGCGACTGAAAAGAAAGAAGCTGCAGTGAAAATCTCTTTTGCACGCTAGAAAAAATAAAACACATGTACCGAGAAGGAAATTCAGAGAGAACTTAATAATTGCCATATTTACCTTGCTTTTGATCCGTCGCTTAATTTGTGGAAGAAGCAGCTGCATTGTGCAGGACACGAACTGCTCAGCAGAGGAAGAAAAAATAAAGCCAAAAAAAAAGCAGCAGTAAAATGTCGACTCATTTTTTCTCCTACAAGCTACTACACGCTATGCAGCTAAACTACTTGTAAAAAATAGGCGCTACAGCTCATTCTAACGGGACATCGGATGCATGGTGGTGGTGGTCAGGCTCACAGCTCCATTCTGCTCCGGCTGGTCTGAATCCTGAGATAAAAAGGATGGGCAGGGATTAGCAAGGACTTGGGTTATTTTCATTCACACGATTAGGCTATTGCTTCCTGGACGCTCATAGGCTGCATCCTCTTTACTTTCATTCTCGGGAATTACTTTCCAATAGCTGTTTAGATGGTTAATTGTGGACACAAACTGTACAGCACTTAAATGAAGCGAGAGGCTGCAGGTAGACACAGCAGAAACCCAAATCTACCAACATGTAGTTCCATGTATTATTTTTCAAATAGTAGAACAAATTTGTGTCAATACTTTCCTGTAACGTCGCATCACATACTGCCAAATGCTGGAGTAAACACTATAAGAGTGATATGCCAAAATTCAAGGACAATTAGTCACCAAAAAAACAGATTACAACTCTGGTATGAACGCACATGGATGGCCTTTAGTTTTAGAATATTTTAACAAACTCCTGCTCTTGTTAGGTTTGCCTGTCCTTAAATTGTGGTAATTCTTTAACATAATCTCTGAAATACTGTATGTAAAACATTGACAGGCTGTAGTTTGCATGGTGGACTGAATTTAGCAACAAAAGACCACTAGATGGCAGTGTAAAGTTGCTAAGTGTATTGACGGTGTGTTACTCACCCTCTTGTTAAACCCAAACTTCAAACCAGATAAAAACATCATGTAACCCCATGCAGTTGATCACTGGGTTTAAATTACAAATAAAGACTATTTTAAAAATATATATTTTATGAGATTATTGAGATTATTCTCATCTTCGTAAATGCAAAGTAGAAGAACAAAGAAAGAGAAATAATTTTTTAACTTAATAGTATACTATAATTCTGTATCATGTAGCTATAATTTAGTATCCTGCAGAACATGTTCATATTTTGTGTGTGACGCACTTTGCGGATGACAGACGTGTTGTCACAGTCTGAGGGTTTTTCACAGGAGCAGAGGTTTAAAGAGACGGCTGTCCAGTGAGATTTCAAATCCTTTAATCCAGCTATCTCTGTCTCTTATTAATACATCTTTGTTCTATTTCTTCCTGAAAGCAGGGGTGGGGAAGGAAATGATATAATGTCTCAAGGTCCTACATTCACAAATGTCTTTGTGGTAAAAGTTTAAAAAAATGTAAGAATAAATATTCTCCTAATTAAGAATACCCCCTGTCAGTGTTTAGTTAGTGACATGTTGTCTAAAATTTTGCATATCTATTCTAAGAAATGTTAACTTATAGAACACTTTGCATTATGTAAAGAAATTCTAAACAGGGCTGTGTTTTCATTCCTGCAGTGGTGGAAGAACAATTCAGATCCTTCAGGCAAAGTAGAAATACCATAGCAAAAATACTAAAAGTTCTTCATTCAAAATGTTAACCAGTACAAAAGTATTACCAGCTAAATGCTGGCTACTTAAAGTATCAAAGTAAACGTACTCATCATACAGAAACACTCCTTTCTGAGTGTTAGTATTACATAGGCTAATAGGCTAATTGTATCTGACACTAAAAGAGAAGCACAACATCCATTTTAGGATTTTAGGATCATATATCGAAAATCTTAATCTGAAAAGCAACTAAAGCTGTGAAATAGATGTAGTAAAGTAAAAAGTACATTTCCCTCTGAAACAGAGAAGTAGAATATAAAGTAGCATACAATGAAAATATTCAAGTAAAAGTACCTAATAATTGTAGTAAGTACAGTAGTTACTTTCCACCACTGCATTTAGCTGTATCATATGTAAAATGTGAATGTAGTATCTAGCATCACATAAATGCATATCCCTAAAACACAGCACAGTAATTAAGTAAATGTACTTAATTACTTCTTATTTCTAATGTTATCACTTATTACTTCAACAGGGATAAATACAATTTTTCATCTTTGCTCCTGATCTTCAGATTCTGTCGGTACAAATGCAATTTTAACACTGAGACCTTTGTTTCATTGCGAAACCAGCAGATTATGATGGTGTAATTAACTGTTAGCCAGTGCATTTATGTGCAACCACTACAAGAGTGTAAGCACTTTGGAAAAAAAATATTACAGACAGGGCATTTAGGTCAGTTACAGTCATGGGTTTTATTCACAAATTTTCATTTGTAGCTAGCCTGCCACTGACATAATATTAATTAAGAGGAACTGCTGCATCCATCCAATAAGCAAAGGCTTTATGGTGTTGACTCTTGTATGAAAGATTACAGCTTTTTGGTCCACTGTCTCTCAATTAATACTGCAGAAAAAGAGTAAACATCTGCTGCACAGTGGTCCCATCTGCAAATGTTGTTGGGCTAAAAGGTATTTAAATTAATTTTTTTTAGCATTTCATTGCATTGTTTAACTTTTGTTTCACCCTTGATCAAAAATGGTGACATATCGATAAACCAGAGAGTTAATAGCAACACACAACAAACCTCCTGAACAAATATCCCAATTCATCAAGTCACTGCATTCATGTTCTAGGCTCTTGTTTCACCACACTCAGCTGCAGTAGATTAACAGATTGTTTTATTGAATCCTTTGCGTTGTGAAATTGGCACTTTACATTCCTGTATGGCGTCATGCTGCACTTTGATAGGCCTCCTGTTGGATATTTAAGGCAGCAGGCATACATCAGATGCTGAAAATTAACACTTTATCTGAAAGACATCAACAGATCTACTGCCACATTTGAACCACATGTATCAAAGCAGGAGATACAATGATACGCATCAACACCGCAGTTGTTTTGGGTGTTTTTTATGAGGAAGTCTGTAACTGGATGGGCCGCTGAGCTTACAGTCAGTACAATATGGGCAGTTTGAGAAAAGGTTATTATAAGTCTATTGGGACACATCATTACTTCATAGTTAATGAGTTTGTGGTAATCTGTGAACAGATTAGTGGTGCAATCAGATTCAGCCCAAATGTTACATTTTAAAAGGTTCAGACCGCTGCGACTCACTTTTCTGCTGTCCTTGTTTTTTTATGGGGCATTTTGGTCAACAGTTCAAGACAGATAAATGAGTAAATGAACAAGGTCCTGACTCTTTCACAGACTTTTTAAATTACGCTTAATGTGGCTACCCCTTTTTGAGTTTCTGTTTCTGTTTGACTGCATGTTCAAAATAAAATAATTATAGATTACATTTGTTTAACCATTGAATTGAATGTGTAACCTCATCTGTAAGTTTTGTTAAAAGATAAAAAATTGATTTCTTCATTAAACAATAACTAAAGTTATTAGTGTTTGCACTTTTGTCACTGCAGCTAAGCATGTTTAATCCCCAAACTTCTGATTCAGATTGGGAAAAGCTTTGTCTGTCCATCACAAGGCAATGGAAATTTCTCTTTGAGATGGTTTATAAGTAAAATAATACAGTACACATATAAAAAAAATAAACAAGGTAAGTACTGTGTGGCTGTAGAAGAAGAAGAAGCAATGTACAAATATGTGCAAAGTCCTTCTCTGCTTGTTTATAATGGCAGTTGTAATCTAAAGAAGGAAAAATGGAGGAAACTTCAGGAAGAGCAACAGGGAGTAATTCCTCTTCCAGGAGGATAAGACATGCATGTGCTACAGCACTCCCTGTTGAGTGAAAAACACGTTTAAATGACAAAAGCAGTTATTATTCCATCATTGCCTTTTAATTTCAGAAATGCCAATTAGCTAAGCATGTTATATAGGAAAATGTGACATAGCCTAAATAAACTGAATTTAAGATACATTATAGCTAAATACCCACTGACTGTGTGCAGTAAATTTTACAGTTATGTGTGGTTTGCTTTTTGTTTGTGTGTGTGTGTGTGTGTGTGTGTGTGTGTGTGTGTGTGTGTGTGTGTGTGTGTGTGTGTGTGTGTGTGCTCAGCTCAGAATGATCACATCTAACATTCAGTCTATCAAACAACTTTAGTTAAGAACAACATTTCCCATGTGTCCATGCTCTGTTCTTATCACCCACATCAGCATAAACACAGTCAGCTGAATTATGTAAACCAGCTGAGAGGAAAGTTTGTCTGTCCAGATGTTTTCTTGCAGAAGCCTTACTCAGTTTTACAAGAACTGGCCCTGAATCGATAAACTTCAGATCAAAGAGTTCCCGCAGCAGAAGCACAAACTTTTGGCGATTCCAAACTTCCAGGGAGTTTGAAGGAAGTTGCTCGTTAGGACATTCTTCGAGGGATTGCAGAAAGGGGGTTTGTTAAGATTAGTCTCTTTGTGCTTTTTCACGTGAAAGAGCCTTTATAAGGCGTCATTTTGTTGGTGACGGTGGTGCGCTACACAACACGAAACGGACTGCAAAGTTTCATTTGTGCATTTCAACATGGCAGCGTATACTTTACCTGAGGGATTCACGGACTTTGATATGTTTACATTCGGCTCAGCGCTTCTTGTTGGGGGTAAGTGGGCCATAAGGCAAGCCGTTTGGCCGAGCTCACAGGAAGACATGTTTCTGCAAGAATTAACAGTATATTAAGAAAGCGATTCTTTACACAATAAAAGCACCTTCAATTGTGTAAATCCCAACTATGCATCCTGCTGTTTATTTGTTTCTCACTGTGATGTTTGAAATTTAGCAGTTTTTGAGTCCCAAGCTTAGCCTACTCCACTTTACTTGCTGACTTATCATAGTAAAGCTATAAATAAAATGAAACAAGATTTTAAACTATTCTAGGCACTTGATGTTTAGAAACTTGTGATGTATGAGTGTGAGATCAGGGTGATATGACTGTGCTGATAAATTCCGGTGTTATCAGAAATTAAAGGGACATTTAGCCTATCTCTTCTTCTTTTATTTAATTATTTTTTACACTTGCAGGCGTGCTTGGATTCTTCCTCAATGCCATCAGCATTGTGTCTTTCCTCACAGTGAAGGAGATGAGGAATCCCAGTAACTTCTTTGTGTTCAATCTCGCTGTGGCCGACATCTGTTTGAATATTAATGGGCTCACAGCTGCATATGCCAGCTATATCAGGTATCAAACAGAGTGGACAGTTATTTTCCTTATGCAGGCACTTTTTTATCACTGTGATGCTTTGAGCAATCAAACAAAAAATTATATTGTTAGTATATAATATTAGCCAGTGGGAAGCACAAGCATCATAAGCCTTTGGGTTTCGTAATCCAATCCACATTCAACTTTATTCAGTGTGTAAAGTTCACAGTTTTCAAGCAAGCCTATTGGAAGTGACCTAACAGGCTCTTAATTGGAATGTAGCAACATTTAACTCAGATTTCTATGTCCTTTTTTAACTTGCATGTTAGAAGGATCAGATTTACCCAATAGGGGGGGGGGGGGGGCTGTTGACCCCCCTTTATTTCTCCCATGCTCTGTGCATGGTGCATGTATTGTGTGTATTAAGCATAACACCCTAAATCTAGATTTTAAAACAGGTCCTCACGATCAGGTGATGTTACAGGTGTCATTTTGATAATACAGCCTTGTGCTTTGGGAAAATAAATCTCAGGGGTTGCAAAATGATTAAATTTAATTTGTTTTGGTGAAACACTGGAGAGGTTTACCTCTTCAGGACGTTGACAATCTGAGAAGGGCATATCACTCTTTGGATTACCTGCTCACAGCTTGTGAGTAGGCATTGTTTGGATATAAAAGGTCACACTCAAGAAAGGTTGGAAAAGGTGAAGTTTTTCAAAAATGTAACCAACAGGCTTTTACAGCCTTATGTAGTTTTATAATAACACAGCTTGTGATAGTGGGTATAGGCTACATTCCTCTGCATGCTGGAGTATGATTCAAATTTTGTTGTCTTTTCTAGATATTGGCCATTTGGTCAAGATGGATGTGCCTATCACGGTTTTCAGGGGATGATAGCCGTCCTGGCGTCCATCAGTTTCATGGCTGCCATCGCTTGGGACAGATATCACCAGTACTGCACGAGTGAGTGCAGTAAACTCACTCTCTTAGAGGAGCAAAATAAAGTCCATTAAAAATTAGTAATACT